TGCTGTGACCCCCACCCGCTCGGGTCATTGTGTGGCTCGGCCCTGGGGTGCAGTGTCCTTGTGCAGTCATGTGCGTTGGTGGGCTCCATGAGAAGCTGGGGTTCGTGTGGACGTCCAGCCTGGATTCAGATCCTGGCTGCGGCTGCCAAGGGGGTTGCCGCCCCTCCCAGTTGCCCCAGTGCCTCCTCTGTAGGTGGAGGTGCACAGCCCACTTCTCGGGGTGCCTGTGGGATCAGAGCTTACAGAAGCATGTGGTGCAGAGTAGGACTCAGGTTCTGTGCACCCTGGAGGGGAGGCTGGGCCCGGGGACCCTGTTGCCGGACTCCCCACGTGACTGACCCGGGTCTTCTTATGGAGGTCCCTGAGCACCTTGGGCAGAGGGGACATTTTTCTCCCAGGGCCTTCCTTTGGCAGGCACCTGGCTGGGCTCTGATCTGTTGCCATCAGGCTCCTTCAGCCAGAGGCGCCCAGGCTGGGTGGGCTCCCGGAGGAGAGATGCCCTGAGGCCTGGCCTCAGAGGGGATGGGGCGCAGCCTGCGGGTGGCCTGGGTCCTGGCCCTAGAAACAGCCCCCTCCCCAGGAAAGAGTAGATGAGGGGCTGGCAGGTGGGCGGGGTGTCTGTCAGGGAGCTGGGGCTTGGGATTTGGGGGAGGGCAGGGCTCAGGAAGCGCTGCGCTCACTTGGGCTTCAGGTCTGCTCTCCATTCCTGATGGAGAGGCACCGCTTTAACCAGCCTGCCTCCCCAGGGCTGGGGCAGCTGCTTCTCCCCACAGCGTGCCCAGCACTAAGCGAGTGTGCGGTGCAGCGTCCTCATCCATCTCACCATCCCTGGCCAGGGGGCAGGGCTGCTCGAGGCTGCGAGTGGACAAGACCCCCTGCTCTGCCTTGCGAGCATGTGTGCACGCACGGGGATGTGTGCATGCGTGACCGTGTGTGTGTGTGTATCTTGCACATGCATGTGCAGAGCACCATGTGAGCACGCAGGTGCACTCGGGCCAGACTTCGGGGGCATGGGGTGGGCACAAGGTTGATGGTGGCTGTGGCAGCCACCCGTCCGTCCTCTCTTCCCACCGCAGCTGCTAGGTCTCCCTGTGGCCCGGGTGCTTCCTGCTGGAGGTCCTGGCCCGGCAGTGTTTATTGCCCTGAGGGGAGGCCTCAGGCTGGGCTCCAGGTGGCTCCCACATTGCAGAAAGGTGTGATGAAAGCATCCAGCTGTCTGAAGTTCCTGTCCTGGTTCCCAAAATCTCCAGCCACAGCTCGGACCCTCGGTCAGTAATAATAATTACTGTCATGTTCACTCCAACTGCCACCCGTGAGGTGGTCACTGGCCCGGAACTGGGGCAGGTTTGCCAGCGCGTGTTTGTGTGCCAGAGGAAGCCAGGGGAGCTACCCTGAGCAGCACCTCGGAGCTCTGTGATGGGGTACCACCTGCCCTTCGGCTTTGATGCCCCCTGAAAGAAGGACCAGGTGTCCCTGTGGGTCAGGTCCTCATGCCACCAGGCAGTGGCGCTTTCCCAGACTGGCATTCTGGGCAGTCCTGAGTGCACAGTCTCGGGAGGAGGGGATGGGGTAGGTTTTTCTCCTGAGACTACGGAGCCAGAGGAGGGTCTGCTTCAGGCCGGGTGCATGTTGGCATTTACTGAAACCTGGCCTTACTTCATGAAGGAATGCCTCAGCCCCTGAGAGAGAAGTAGCAAACATGCATGAAATATAGACATAGAAAAGCTCCCAGGACTGAGCTCTAAGAATTAAATGACAAGGAGAAGCAGAGATATGGAGGCTTCTAGGTCCTGTATAGTAGGTTTGTTTGGTGTTTTGAATTTATCTCTGAGATTCCTGGCAGCCAAGGTGAAAAGAGAAATGTGCTCAGCTCTACTGTCTTTGTTGTCCCTTAGAATAGGGTTTTCCAGCTCCTCCTCTCAAGTGTCTGGGGAATGTGAGGGACGTGCATGATGGGGATGTCATGAGGTCCCTCTCGTGTCCTGGAGACAGCTGTCCTATGGCTCAGCCTCTGTACTGGTGTTAGGAAAAGGCTCCATCAAAACCAGCCACTGTTCAGTGGCTCTGGAACAGAGTTTTCCCATGGGGCCCTGAAGCAGTGGGGACACATGGCCCAGTGAGAAGGTACAGCCAGCCATAGCAAGGCTCGCTGCCTGTCCTGGGTGTCCGGGTGACAGAGCCCCCTGGTTGTCCCTGCCAGGGTGACCCCCTCTCATCAGGGCCCTGTCCCCACCCACAGACCCCAAGCTGGGACCAGGGAGCAGGATGGGAACCACTCCAGCCTTCCCCAAGGACTGGGGCTCACAGGCCCGGCGAGGGGACAACTTTGAATCAGTGGCACTGAGGAGTGGCCAGGACGGCCGCCCCCAGCCTCCATGCCCCCAGTGTCCTGGGTGCTCCGGGCCCGAGGTGGGTGGACCAGGAGCGGTGCCACTGCCGGGCCCGGGCCCCGGGTGAGCTGGCCTGGCCGAGCCAGAGCTCGGGTGCAGAGCCAGCTCCTCGGTCCCGGGCCTGGGGTCCTCGCAGTCTTCCTGGAAGCCCCCGGGTCCTCGAGGGAGACAAGGTCCCCGCAGCAAAACAACAGCGATGACTCACGCGGCTTGGGAGTGAGCCTGGCGCTGCTGTTTACCAGAAGTTCTTGATTCTGATTTTTTTTTTTTTTGAGAGCGAGAACAAGCAGAGAGAGAGGAAGGTGGCGCTGGCTGGCTGCTCCGCTCGCAGGAGCCAGGGGCTGAAGCCGGCTGCTCTGGGCGGGGACAGGGCTGGGGGGAGGCAGTGGTACAGGGTTACAACACTTTGGGAGGGGGAGCAATGAAAAGGCAGAAGGGAAGGACAAGGCGGGAGACGGCCCTTGAGGCAGTGTGAACCTGACCCTGGGTTCCACTGCCATTGTCCTCCCATCCCACTGCTGTGAAACCACACTCTGGCCAGACCAGCACAGGCGGCTTCCTGTGGGTCACGGCCCAGGCTGCTGGGGCCCCACCCGCACCTGCTGCCTCCCTGTGCGGGTCCTCGTGCGCACGCCTCCTGTGTGGGTTTCCTCCTTCTTCCTCCTTCGAGGGCCTGAAGGCCCGCCTGGGGCCGCCCCCAGTGGCCTGGGCAGTGTCCTGACTCTGCCCTGTTCTCTGCCGCACAGGACCCTGCAGGGGAGTCCGCCTTGCCCAGGCGAAGCTCCGGGGCCGGTGTGCCGGGCAGGGTGGCTCCCACCTGCACGCTCTGGCTGCCACCGTCCCAGGACCCTGCTGCCCAGGTGCGGGCAGCTGCGGAGGCCCTGTGTCCCCACCTCTGCCCAGGCTCCCTGCCTCCCCCGCGGGCCACTTCGAGGGGGGGCACTGGATGTCACCTCCTGCTTAGCACTTTTGCCCAGAGCCCAGCTCTCCCTCGTGAGGGCTCCCGACAACCTGAGTGGGGTTCGGAGGGTCTGGTCGGGACCCTGACATCTTCCCCAGGACCTGGATGGTGGAGTCCAGCCCCAGCCCCGAACTGGCCGGCAGGAGGCGCTCAGGAAGTGGGGGAGCTGGCAGCCAGCCACGAGGTCTCTGGGCTGGGCAGGAACAGCCTGGCATCCTCGAATCGGGCAGCAGGGAGTGATGCTGAGGGGGCATCGGAGGGGACAGTGGAGAGGACAGTGGGGCCCAGCGGAGGGGAGGGGACTGTGCGCTGGAGTGGGGCAGCCCGGAGGCCCCTGCACCGCCTGCTTGGACGGGCGCCCTGAGGAGACAGAGGTGGCCCCTCCCCAGCTGCCCTCCCAGTTCCTAGAAGCCCAGTTCCAGGAAGCAGGCACAGCCGCTCATCCCAGCCTGCAGGTGAGGCTTCCTGGAAAACAGGAGCCAGGGCCCCTGGGGGCCCAGAGGGGGCTCAGACCCACAGCCAGGAGCGGCCGGGTGGGTGGAGTCTCAGGATATGTGTGCAGGAGCACTGTGGTCAGTGGTCAGAGGAGGTGGCAGTGTCTTGTGATGACCCAGGGCCACCCCAAGCCGTGGGCCCTTCCTGAGCACCCACTTGGCTTGGAGCAAGGCGGGGGGACAAGGGGCCTGGCACACGAGTGTGTGTGTCTCTGTGTGTGTGCGCACATACGCGTGTGTGCTGTGCCCAGGAAACCCCACACAGGGACAGCCCCAGTTCCTGTCCCACCCCCTGGCACTGTCGCAAAACGCATGTGGCACAAACTAAAATGGAGCCAGAGTCAGGCTGTGTGGGGGAATGAGACGCTCGGGCGGAGTCCCCCGGCACTGTCTGCTGGAGCCCTGCAGCCCCCATGGCCGAGGCCTGGGCAGCCCGAAGGAAGTGGAAGCCGCCTTGTCCTCTTCCTAGGGCAGGTGAAGTGGTGCACACAGGGGCTGGTGGCCCAGAGGGACGGAGGGGCCAAGGGATGGTGCAGGCAGCCCGTAGAGGTGAGGCGAGACCTGCCGAGGGGTCACGCACCTCCCTGAAATCCACGTGGCCCTGGAAGAGGGGAAGAAGGGCGTGGGTGAGGCCAGAGTGAGCAGGCTGGGTGCTAGAGAGCCGGAGCAGGGCACAGGCCTGGGTCCACCACCACTTTGGGCTGCTCTAATTGGCTGAGCCGGGCTGCAGCCAAGAGCAAATTGATTTCTCTCCAGCTGGTCCTGTGACCCCAGGCTTCTGCGGGAACACGGGGGAAGAAGGGAGAGTCATGTCTAGAGGAGGGACGATCCTGCCTCAGTTTCCCAGAGCTGGAACACACACACACACACACACACACCCAGGCAGGGTGGGCTCACCACCCTCAGCTGCCAAAACAAATCTACTCTGACCACCTCCTCTGCCCAGGGAGGGATTTAAGGACTAACTCCAGCTGGAGGCTTTAGCCATGGGCTGCACCTCCTCCTGTCCTGGGCCTGAGGTAGGAGACAGGAAAAGAAGAATAGGAGACAGGAAAATTTAAAAATTGTACTAAAAAAAAAAAAAAGACCCTGCAGCTTCAGGACACGAAAGTTACTCAAGCCCAAGCCTAGTTTCTTTTCTCTCCTTCTCCCCAGACACACCAAGCTGGCCCCTCCTTCCACCCGCACACCGGCCCTCTCCCCAGGGAATGGACTTCTCCACCCTCGCCTCTCCGTTCTCACCGAAGCACCAGTATTAGTGGATGTGAATGGCTTTCGCGCCGACGCAGCCCACCAGACAAGATGGGCAGCAGGAGCACACCCCCCATCACCCTTCTTCAAGACGCCCCATAAAATACCAGCTGCAATCGGAGCACCTCTTTCTCTTGAGAGTCCACACGTATTTCTTTGTTTACTTTAGATTCTGCCTAATAAATCCCTTTATGTCTCTTCCTGATCCATCTAGAAAAGTCTCTTTCTTTTCTGTTTTTGTTTTTTTTTTAAAAAAAAAAACAGGGTCTCCCTAGGTAGCCCAGGCTGGTATGGACCTCACAGTGATCCTCCTGCCTCAGCCTCGCCAGTGCTGGGATTATAAGAGTGCACCACCACGCCCAGCTCAATTCTTTCTCTGTGACTGGAACCAACAGACCTGCCACTTAGTTCTCTGAGGAGGGTGAGTTCAGGCGTCTCCTCTGACCCTGTAGGCGAAGGTCTTTCCACCTGCTCCTCTCTGGGTGGAGAAAGCCTGCACATGCCCTGCTTCTCTGAGGCAGAGACCTTGGCCCTCTGGACACCAGAACCCCTACCTGCCCCATGGACCCCTCTGCTCCCTGGGCGTGTAGGAAGCAGGGTGGGGGCAGTGGAGGCCAGATGCACCTGGGCTCATGCTCATGCATCTAGGCCAGCGCCAACTGGTCTTGTCCAGCAGCTAAAGGTTTTGCAAAGCTCTGACCCCTGCCCTGCTGGAGCACTGGGCTGATGCTGCTTCATAGCTGGACAGCACCACCCCACCATGCACCCCGCCTTCCTCCTGGTCCCCAGCCTCACCCCGCCCAGCTGGCAGAAACCTCGCCTTGCTCCTGTCACCAGCTTTCTCTCTCCTTGACTGCCCCCCGCCCTGGTTCTTTGTGCCTTAGCTGGCCGTGGCCCCCTGGCTTCTTTTTGGTTTCCTTTCTGCTTTGCCCATTCTCCATATTTCTCCACCACAAAGGCAGCCCTGGGGCTCGCTGGCCAGTGAGAAGCCCCACTGCCCTCTGGACACCTCTGTCTTTGTGCCAAGATCTACATCACAAAGACGCCTGAAGCCCAGCTGGCAGATAGAAAGCCTTCTTGGGGGAAGCTGAACCAGCAAGGTCAAAATTCTTTCTTCCCGGGATGACAGGGGCCATTCACATGTTAATAAATCATATTCCCTCCCAATCAATGCACCCTCTTCACAAACTGCATTTTAACCCCACATAATTACTCCAGGAACAAGTCCACAAATAAGGGAACTGAGACTTGGGGAGGATGGTATGGGACCCCCCACGAAGCTGAGAACAGGCTGTAAGGAAGGTATCCATACAGCCCACCCTCTCACAATCCTCCATCTGTGTTCTCTAACCTGAGTGCACCTTCACAGCGACCCAGGAGGAAAGGCGACCCGGACCAGTGGCTCAGTCTGATTGCAGAACGGGAGGTGCACATTCGGGGTGCCAGTGGGGCCTTCTAGGGTCTGGTGCTCCCCGAGCAGACTGCAGCCCATGCCCTGCAACACCACCTGTACACTGCGCCCCGGGGAGGCTGAGTTACACCGTGTAGTGGTCGGAGAGGAGTGGAGCTTAGGGGAACAGCGGCTTTGCACCCCAGGAGCCCCCCAGTGCTCAGGGAGAGGGCACCCTGGGGTGCAGAGGGCTGGGGACCTTGGGACTGGGCAGCGGGCACGGTGGGGAGGTAACCCAGCCACCTGATTCTCTACTGGGAGGAGTTGTTTTTGTTTTGTTTTTTGCCATCTTTCAGGATCTGTGCCTGGGGGAAATGAAAATGAAAAGGTTTTTTGGGGGAGGGGGGTTGTTTTTGTTTCTTGTTTTGTTTTGTTGAGGTTGTTTGTTTAAGTTTTAGAAACGTTTTAAGAAATTGTTCTTGTGCAACTGAAAAGCTGAATGATTTGGAAGAAATCCACGAGCAAGGTCAAAATATTCGAGTAAGGAGCAGTGTGCTCACTCCCCGCCCAGCTGCTCTTCTGTCGAGGGCCCTGTGCCTCACACACCCCAGCGACAGGGGGCTACCCGGGCCTCGGCCTTTGGAGTGAGTCTCCCAGGGATGCAGAAGGAGCCCGGGAGGGACACAGTGTTTGGGCTCTGCTGCTCTCGGGGCTCCTGTAACCCAGGGACTTTGTGGCCATCATCGTTAGCCACCTTTCCTGAGAGTCTGCCCCTCCAAAGTCCCAGCTTCTCATGGGTCCTTTATAGACCCCGGGGCTGCAGCCCAGGAGGGAGCCCAGCCTAGGGTGGAATGTGGGACCCCAGGGAGGAGAGTGGGCTGAACAAGGCCAAGGTTATCTTTGGTCGCCTTACACTGGGGGCGGTGACAGCAAGGCTTCTGCCTCCCAGTTCTGGATACTGGGAGCCCAGCATCGGGGCCAGCAAGGTGGGGTGCAGGGGAAGCCCTGAAGACTAGGGCTGCGGCATCTCGGGCAACTGAGTGGGCAGAACATGACCAAGATCAAAACCCCTATGGCCAACAAGTTGAGGGAGACGTTTCCTAAAAAAGAGAGCACACACACGGAACACAGGACCTCAGGGGACACCAGGCTTACAGCTGAGTGCTGTGGGGCCGCTCGGGTTTTAATCCTTCATTTAAGCCTGGCGCTGCTCCAGGGCCAATCAGAGGCCTTCCAGGCCTCTTTTCAACCCTCACATCTGCCAGAAGGCCAAGTACGGCTTTCCACGGACAGTTTCAGTCTGGCACAACACCAAGTGAGGTTTTGATAGGACAGCCATCCCTGTGCCTCATTTTCATGAGTGGGAAGCCAGCCCAGGAATTTTGGATACAAAAGCCTCCCTTCCTTTATCCTTGAGACTGCTGCGAGCCTTTCCACTGGCCCCTCTTAGCCTGCAGAGTGGCCTTCTTTTCCATCTTCACTGAACGGACAAGCTTGGTGCTTTTCCCGAGTGTCAGGTCCAATTCTAAGAATCCCCGGGGCGTGCTCCATCCCTCCACTGATGCCCTCGCTGTGGAAGTGGGGGGCGCTCAGGGACACACTCCCACCATCACCCATCACCTCCTGCAGACCCCTCCCCTGATCACCAGCGGCTTGGAGGTTAGGGTTTCAGCATGGGAATTTGGGGGGCTATAGAGCATACCCATTGTCAACAAGAGGGTTAAAACCCTTAGCAGCAGAGCTCCTGCCTGAAAGGTACCCTGCGCAGCCAGGACCGAGCAGGGAGCCGTGAGACAATACAACACTGATCCAAACTACATGCGCCCGGACCTCGTGGGCCGAGCTGAGAGGCCTCCCGTAGGCCAGGGGCACAGTCTTGTCAAAGCCCAGTGCTGTCTATTTATCATGTGTTCAGTCCATGTTTGCAGCACAACTTACACTCCGTGAGTGGACTTGGTGCACGTATGAAGCACGTCTTAATTCCTTTTCCATCCCCTCTCCCCGTTACCTGATCCCTTCCCACTTGAGAGGTCGACAGGACGCTATGTGATCTAAGGGCGCAGCTGGCCCTGAGAAAGACATTCCCTAGGTAATCACATTTGCTGTCTACACCCTTTCCCCACACCCTCAGACTGTTAGAAGACCCCAGTCTTTCCCACCACGTGACTCCACTCTTGGGATCTCAGCCGCTGTCCGCCTTGGCTATGTCGCTCCCCTGAGGATGCCCTCTGCTCTTGTCATTGCCTTCCATCCTTCCCGCCATGTGCCCTGCCCTCTGCACCGTCTTGGACGGCAGGGGCCACAGACACTGGTTCCGGATGGCACAGTGAGGCGGGAGGGCCCAGGACGGGATGTCCCGCCCCAGGGCAGTGGCAGTGAGTGTGGGCTGGGCACTCTGGGAATCCGCGTGCCACAGAGGCTGGCCCACGAGCAGGAGCCTGGAGAGGACCGTCCAGGGACAGCAGCAGCACCACGAGCGCAGTGAGCCCTGAGGGAGACCCCGTGCTGGGGCAGAAGCGCCAGGGTGGGCATGGTGCAGCTCCTGCTCGGGGACCCAACCGTGGGCTCTGCTCATCTCCAGGAAACCAGACGGTGGCCAGCGCCGCCCAGCCCAGCCACTCAGACCCAGAAGCCCTGATCAGACCCAGACTCTCACCCGCAGAGAGGCATTTCGCATTGAATCTGAGTCCTAGATTTTGCAGTATAAACATCCCTCCGGTCTGACAGCACGTACAGCCATCAGTGACTGCTGAGATGGGCTCGGGGCCTGTGGTCGCGCTTCCTCGGGTGTGTTTCCGGGCCAGCCCTGCGATCAGCATGCAGAGCCTGTAAGGAGAGGGGCTCTCAGGAATCCATGACGTTGTGGGCGGACTCCAAGGAAGCAGCCTGGTCTGGCCACACTAGGGAGGGTGGGGGAGAGGCTGTCTGCTCCCACCTGCCCCGAGTCCCTCCTCAGAACGGGCTGCAGCACCACGACCCTCACCTGCCTGCTCTGTTCTTTCCTCCACACACACATTGGCTTCCAACCTACTCCATAGAATCTATTGATTTCTTTTGTTTGTTTTTTATTTTCTGGTTCAGACTATCCCCGCTCTGCTCCAACATCCACCCAGAGGGTAAGAGACGCTGGATTTGGTTTGGGGCATCCCGAATACCTAGAAGTCTGCCAGATGGTCCAGAATTGCTGGCACTTCATCAATATTTGACATTCAGTAAATATTTGATGAAGTTTTACCTCTGGCCAAGATAGAGTAACAGAGAGTAGATTTACTCTCCTTCTGGAAACACTTAAAAATCTGGGCAGAATGTATGAAACCAACACGTTTTAGACAATGGATGTCAAAGAGTTCGAGTCAGTTTGGGACATGGGGTACAGACCTTGCTGGGCTGGCTGTGACCATGCAGGGTCACCAGCTGGAGTGTCCCCAGGCTGCGGTGCAGGCAGACGCAGGCGGAGTGGGCCTTTCTGAGTTGGAGGAGACTGAGGCGGCTGGAATCTGGCTGGTAGAAGACGGAACAAGAGAGAGGTAGAGGTGCAGAAAGGAAGTCCCAGAGGTGTGCAGAGGGTCCTTCCTGGGTGCCCAGCAGAAGGCTGATGGGCTCTTGTGTGAGCAGAGCACGGAGGGGGGCGGGATAAGCCGAAAGGGTCAGCATCGGCAGTGATCACACACGGGGCTGGGATTTTAAAACCAAGCCTCAAGCGAATCAAACTATTTCCAAGTAACTTAACTGTGTGGAGCAAAGCTTAGCAATATTTACAGGAATATAAACATCTAGCACCCAAGAAGGGAAGGTTCACAGCGTCTAGGATCTAA